TCCCACGTGGCCTCAGTCATTCTACTGGGGGACTTTAACTGTTTCCAGTTCTGCTCTGTGAGGAGCGACAGCGAGCTGCAACAGCTCTGTCTCTTTTGTGTTTATTTTCATGTTTCCTTGGGCTTCTGCGTTTGCTTTTTTTTTTTGCTATGTCCTCTTTTCCGTAAACGCTTGTGGAGTTGGGCTAGCAGGGATACAACTTTTATTGCGTTTGCATTGTGTTTTATACTTTTTTTTACAAGCTTTCGAGTCTGCCTCGGGGGGACCCTTGTGTCGTGGCCCCGACTGTTTGCTCGGCTTGCCAACAGTCGGCTTCCTTGTTGTGAGTTGCTGGGGATTCCCACAGGGATGCAACGAGAGGGGCGAGTCTGCAGAACTGGAGCAAAGCGCTGGGAGAGGAGCTGGAGTGAGGCGCTGATGGACGAGCTGGCCACGCTGGCGGCGCTCCAGCGGGTGTACAGGAGGAGAGGTCCTGCATGCACTTCACCGGGACTCCAGGATCTGTGGTCCTTGGAGACGGTTCTCCACTGATCCCCGGGCCGGCTCTGCTGCTGCGTGCAGGCGCATGATGTCTCAGCGGACACAGCACCCGCAGGCCCTAATCCTCATCTTGTGGACCTCGACCATACCATGCCTCCCTCCTCCTCTCTGCCACCCTCCTACACAAAGAACGATAAAACTATGGACCATATCGTATGCTAATGGTAGGAATGCGTACACTTCCGCCTCTCCCCCTCTGACCACAGACTGCCCTGTCTGTGATTTGAGTGAGAGCGATATCTGTTCCTGACTTTCTCTGAAATGCTTGTACTGTCTTGTTTTTTGGGTATTCTAGAATTGTTTTTTAAGATTCTTGATTTGTTTTTCCCCTGTGAGGAACCTTGGAGTCATCTTTGATCAGAATATGTCCTTTAAATCACACATAAACCAAGTCTCTAGAACTGCCTTCTTTCACCTGCGCAATATTGCAAAAATCAGGAGCATCCTGTCTCAAAGTGATGCTGAAAAACTGGTCCATGCATTTGTTACTTCCAGGCTGGACTACTGTAACTCTTTACTATCAGGATGTCCCAATA